TCCCTGGCACCTAGCCTCTACCTTGGGCTGGGTTCCTCTGGGTCCATTCCCAGGGATTTTTCTCCAAGTTCCATGGATCCAGGCCACTTTGAGGGCAGGCCTTTTCTGATGCGATTACAGAGCACAGAGGCAGGGGCTGCTCTTGGATTCCCCAAACCTCCTCTGAGCCTGGTCTCTTTGCCCACTTTCTTCATCTCCTCCCCATCCCCCTTGCCCTCAGGTGCCCTCACACCAGCATCAGCACCTGTCTGTCCTCTGCAGAGGTGCCAGGCATGCTTGGCAAGGGTTCAGCCCTTCCCTGCCAACCCACAGGGTCTGACTGCTGCCTCCTCTCATTTTAGAAACCTCTGCCCCAGCCTTGGGGACACAAGGGGCCTCTCCAGGGCACTGAAGCACCTCTGTGTGCCAGATGCTGTCTCAGTCATTCTTCACCACACTGTGAGATAGGTGTTGTTATTATCCCCATTTACAGATGAGGAAACTGAGGTGAAGCAAGCTGCCCAAAGCCACCAGCTCTTAAATGGCAGAGTGGGATTTGAACCTGGGTGCTCAGGTACATGGGCCCCACTGTGTGCTAAGAGAAGGGATTCAAAGGCAACGTGAAGATATAGCTAGCCTGACAGTCCGATGGCCAGCAGCCCCTATGTCCACGACACCCCATACCCACTTCCTCAGCAGAGGCACCGCACAGGTGCTCACAGTTCTGTCCTCATCGACACTCTCCTCAACAGGAAGCCTGGGTCCCAGCTCCTGGCTCTATTTGAGGCTGAGGGAGGGAGAGGGAGAGAAAAGGCTTTTAGTTTGTCAAAATCCACTTTGCCCTTCTCCACGGTACCGCTTCCCTCCCAAGCATAGCGAGCGCATCTAACTTGCTTGCAGCCAACCCTAGGAAGTTGTGAAAGTGTGTTTGTGACTCAACTCATGCTCCAGTTTCTCTATATCGATGTAGTCACTCACCCCATATTTATTGAGCACCTGCTGTGTGCCAGACCCTGGCCGCAGCAATAGGAATGCCAAGATGATTAAGACATGGCCCCTGCTTTTAAGGGAGGGAAAGGAGAGCCAAAGGATTGCCATCATGGAACACAGAGGAACAGTGCACTCTGCGGTCAAGGAGAGAAGGTTCACGTAGATGGTGTATTTGAGCCTTGAAGGATGAGTGTGGTTTCCTCAGATGGAAAAGGCAAGGGTGGGATAAGACGGTGTTCCAGGCAGGAGTATCAGCCTGGGCAGTCTTGCTGATGTGAAAGAGCATAGTTCTGGTACCTGGAGGAGTGGGTGTGTGGGTGCAGTGGTGAAAGACTGGACTGAAGAAGTGGGCTCCGGTCAGATACCCCTGTCTGCCAGGCCTGGGAAATAAGATTTAGCCTGAAGGCTATAGAGGAATCATGCTGGTGATGAACAGATGGGAGAGAGAAAAGCTGCAGGAAAGGAGACGTTAGGAACTCATTACAATGGCTGGGAGAAGGAATCTGGGCAGACACAACACAACTCAGTAGGCTTCATGTGCTGTTTGTCTCTCAAAACCTTGGACACATACACAGCTCTGTCCAGCCCGCCTATCTTGGGTAACGAGTTAAATGTGGGGCTGTGTATTGAGGACCTCTCTCTGTTACTTGCAGGAGCTGCAGGCCTCAGACACTGGACCCCAGGTCTGCAGGGGGATGATGTACTTGCAACATAAGCCAAGAGCAAAATGGCATTTGACCTGGCAGCCCCTCCTGTCTGCAGCCAGAGGCAATGGTGATGCCCGGCTGCTCTCATGTTTTTCATCCATAGCAGAGCCAAGGCCTGGTGATCTGGCAGCCAGAAAGAGTAGCAGGATGCGCAAGGCTGGGAGTTGGGGAATTAGGAGTCACAGAATGGACAGTGCTCTGGGAAGACTGGTTTGTTGTACAACTGTGCATTTATTCCTTCAATGAACAAATGAGCAGTATGGCTGAGAAGCTCTGGAGTCAAGCTGTCTGGATTCCAATCTGGACTCTGTGCTTTGGGAAATCTGTGAACTCTCTGTACCAGTTTTCCCTCATAACCTATAGGGTTGATGTGAGGCTTAACCTAGTATGTAGTAAGTGCCCTATAAATATTATTATAAATATTATTCTTTGACAATGTGCTTCTATGCCAGGAACAAAATTCTCCTATAGCTCTTTAATTGTACTCCACCCTTTATCCCCAGAGAGATTGTACTGAGCTCCCCAGGGACAGGGACCATATCTTATTTGTCTCTCTATATCCACAGTGCCTTTGCTAAATGAATTTATTTGCTAAATGAGTGAACCAGGAATAACTTATGACATTCAAGAGACTGCCATTATAAATGTGTCATTACATCTCTCTCTTTCCTGCATGCCTTTGCCTAAGATGTTTCCCTGACCCAGAATTCTACCACCCAACTTCCGTACCAACATTTGGAATGAGTGAATCCTATTAACCCATGTTTCACACTGTATTGTGATTTTTCGCTGATGCATCTGTCTCCCCCATGACAATGAGCTCCTTGAAGACAGGGCTAGAGGATTATTCTATGTTGTACCCCAATGCACACTGATGCCAGGAATGAGGTGTGTATTTTGTGAAATACTCTGTGCAGGCTACAAAGGAAAAGACCTGGCCCCTGCCTTCAGGGAGCTTTCCAGTTCTGGTGGACAGAGGCATGCAGACAGAGCCCTAAGGTGGGCACGGAGGGTTCATTGGGTGAGGTCCAGCATTCCAGGCAGGAGAGTTACTGTGGCAGCCCTGCACAGATCCAGCATGTCAGCCACCTGGGTCCAGGTGTCAGGGAGAACTGTGTAGCTCCCAAACATTCACTTTAATAATAGTCACCTTCCCTTGCCTGGCTGTCTGGCTTCAATGCACTGCCAACCTGGGAATTTGCAAACTCTCTCAATGTTTAAGAGGAAAACATTTTGATAAAAATGTTAGCGGATATACTCAAGTGAAATCCTTTTCCTGGAAATAAAGAATAGGGCCATTAAGGTCTGCAGTAGAATGATTTTAAACATCCCCAGGGAGCCAGCAGGAAGCTGAGCCCAGAGGAAATCATGGGATGGGGAGGAAGTTCCCACCTCCATATGAGGAATTGCAAGTCAGCTCACTGGAGCTCCCTGCTGCCCCTACCCCCACTACCTGCTGGGGCTTCCAGAAGTCAACTATTTATTATTGCTATCTGTGCCCACTCAGGAGGCCTTGTGGTGGTTGCTGTGAAGTCTGCCTCCCAAGACCCCTGGTTCCCCAGGGATGAGAAATAAGCTCCTTTCAGGACTACCCTGTGGTCCCATCTGCCCATATAGTTCCTGGGGCCTTGGGGAGTTGGGGTCAGGGGCTCAGTTGCACCCCAGGTTTACTGGAGGAGGCAGGTGTGGTGAGATGGTTAGGCAAACAGGAGAAGGCACAGCAAGGAGCCAGGATCAGGAACCAGGCTCAGGAACCAGATGTTCCCTGGCTGTAGTCTTCACTCTACCACTCACTAGTTGTGTGACCTTGGGCAGGTTACTTCAGTTCTCTGGAACTTAATTTCCTCATCTAGACAATAAGAAAGCTCTTTCCTCTCTCAGAGATTTGGCATTAAGATCCAATGACATCAACTAGAAGGGACACCGTGGGTGAGAGGTAACGTTTCAGGGCAGCGACAAGGCCGTCTCGGGCAAGACGAATGGAATGTAGAGACCTACAAGTCTTAACTTCTTCCAACCTCAGTTTCCACCTCTTCCTTTTTCATTTATTGCTGAGGTCGAAAATGAGCGTTGGGTCCATTCAGTTCCTCCTCTGCCTGCAACTTTGGGACCAAGCCCTGAACTGAAAGGATGACCCCCCCACCCCAGTTCTCCAATTCCAAGTCCTCCCTCCAACCAGCTATGAGCTATATTTATAATATTTCCTCCCAGTGTCACTGTGTGGTTTAGACCATGACCCTAATTTTATAGATAAGGAAACCAAGGTTCCTCTAAGTAAAGGGACTTAGCAAAGATTTCACAGCCAGTGAGTAGAGAAGCCCCTCGGATACAAACTTTAGAGCCCGTATTCTTTCCACTTCTCCAGGCCATGTGTGCTCATATGCTGCCTCCATCTCCAACCTACTGGTCCCTCTCTGCATCTCCACTGTCCCCCACACTGCAAAGTTCAGCTCAGCTATAACTTCTCTGAGCCCTTCTTCACTTACTCACATTTATTCCTCCTCCAAACTACTATTTTTAAATTTATTTATTTATTTTTTAATGGTGACATTGGTTAACAAAATCCAATAAGTTTCAGCTATACACTTTAACAATAAGGCATGTATATATATTTATTTATATTTATATACAGGCATATATATATATATATATATATATATTTACGCTCTGTGTTCACCGCCCATAGTTAGATTTCTTTGTCACCACATCCAAACCGCTTTTTAAAAATTACACTTTTATTTGATTCTAAAATAATATTCATTAAATTAGAAAAGATATGCAAGTATAAAGATGGCAAAAACCACCTCAGATCCCCTCACCCAATTTCCAGTCTTTTCTCTAAACATTTACGTATGTGTTTGTGCATCCTTTCTCTCGAGTTTTCTATATTTTCTTGGTCCTACTTCTGGACCTATAACTTTCTGACTTCAGTACCTGTCTGATTCACTACATCAGACGATGAGCTCCTGGAGGGCAAGCTCTGTGCCTTGATGCAGGTCGACGTGCACACACAAGTGCCCAGCCCATGGCTGGCTGGAGGAAAGGAAATGGGACTAGACAACTGGGGGGATTGTCCTGTCAGCTCAGTATTTGGTCCCAAAAGTGCACGCAGAGGAGGAATCAGATGCCCCCAACACTCGTACTAGAGCCCAAACACCCATGAGAGAAAGTGTGTGCCACGTGTACTAGTCTTTAATTTTCAGATTAAAACATAGACACACAACATCTTGAGGAGGCTCATTCTAGATAGGCTGGGCCTACACTGGAAAGAGGGGAAGAGGAATTTGCACCCCAATTTCCTCTCTTCCCAGCTCTATACCATTGGGCACATGATGCTAAATGACCCTCAGTTTCCCCATCTGTAAAATGGGGATACTAGCACCTCTTTATGGGGTTGTTATGAGGATGAAGTTGTGAATACAAACAACTTCACACAGTGCCTGGCATGAGGACACCTGCACTGAGTGCTAGTCCCCTCCCTTCCTTCTTCGAAAATGATTAACATGTCAGTTAACAGCCTCCATTTATTATAGATCTGTCATGTGCTCAGCACTGTGGGGGCTGGAAAAGGTGCTCTTCCTGCCTTAAAATCCAAATGGGGATAAAAGACTTAACACAGGAGCTGATTAGAGAGAGAGAGAGACAGTCCATTCTAAGGGCTAATTGAACAGCCCAGACAATGATACAAACTGAGTTAGGGCTGAGAAAGCTCATTGTGTGTCCGGGTCCTCAGGGAGGCCTCAGACATTCTTTCCTCCAGATAAATAACAGCCTTTGCAACTCGGGAAGCAGTCAAGGCAAGAGACTTCACCAATAAGCTTATCTGGGCTGTGGGCACAGAGCTAGAATTCGTAAGCTTCAGTTTTTTATCTATCTCACATTACCAACTTGTCCATAAATTACAGCTATCTGATGGTTTAGGGAACACAAAGTGAGGATAGATTGAGAGAATGAAATGAGACCACGAAGACTGGAGAACAGGATCAGAGGGGACTAGTGATTTCATAACCATTGGGGTCTCCATTCAGTTCTGCCCCTCAGCAGAGGATAGATAAGAATTTTCTCAGACTTCTGCCATCCCCGTTTTTCTCCATCCTTGTTTTCCAGACAAGAAGGTATTTATAAGAGATAGATCATGGGTAATCACAGTGAAATACTGTAGCACGGTCATTAAGAGCATGAAGCTTAGGAGTCACGCAAATCTATTTTCTCCGCTACTTGCTGGCTGTGTGTCTTTGGGCAAGTTACTTAGCCTCTCTAAGCCTCACTTTCTCTGTAAAGTGGGGACAGTCAAAATAAATGGCCTTCATGTGGTTATTTTAAGCTTTAAAATAGATAACGCTGCTTATCACAGTGCTTGTAAAAGTTCAATAAATGTTAGCTGGTGTTAATATTATTAAAGTAAGATCAGCATGAAAACAGAGCGGATTGCTTTTCGCCAAATGTCCATGTCAGAAGTATACATTTCATTGGCAGGAGGCTGGTTCTGAAAGGTTAAGAGATGTCCTGGGGCGGGAGAAAAAGCACTGATAAAGCTGGCACCAAAATTCAGGTCACCTCACTCAGTGATTTTCAAAATTTTTTTTCCTATAATCCACAGTATGAAATGCATTTTACATCATAGTCCACTACATTTATGCATTCATTGACAGAGAGAAAAAAATTTCACATGAAAAAATACACATCTTGACCACATATAGTGCACACTATTTTTTATTCTTTTTTTTCTTCTTCAGTGCAGTTGCAATTCGCTTATTGCAGACCCACTTATTGAGTCCCGATCCACAGGTTGAAAACACTGTATGAAATGATTGTGATCTTAGGGGAAGTCACTTTCTCTTTCTGAGCTTTCTTTTTCCCAACTATAAAACAATCTTGATGCCCAACCAGCCTCACTGCCTCTCTGAGTCATGCCAGGAGCACTGAGTAAGCCCTTGCTCATCCAGGTGCTGCAGGAGGAACGGAGATTGAGAAGAGCAGTTTCTGTCCCTAAGAAAACAACTTGGGGCTACTGGGGATGGGAGGGTGGCGAATGTGGGGATCGCTTCTCCCCAAAGACCCAGTGTGATGGGGAGAATGGCAAGGGAATGGGAAGTAATTGATGTTTTTTCCCCATTTGTGCCCCCAGCAGCCTTCCTGACAGCGAGACAGGGGAGGACCCCAGGTACAGCCTTGATCCGGGTTGGAAGTGGATCTGGATAAAGGAAAGGGGCCGAGCGTGGGGTGGGGTGAGATGCTTGGGGGAGGGATACTGAGTATGGATTCAGGAGTGTGCAGCCTATACAATTTCAGAGGCATGAGACCTAATAATAAGGCATGCACTCTCAATGTGGGCAAAATCTGGTTCTTGGGGAAAGAAAAAACTTAGACCTCACAATGATGGCCCTCCAAAGGGCCATCGTGTAGTATATTTGTAGTATTAATTTTTCATGGTGGATAGTCAGAAAATAGATCTGTGATTGCCCCAGGGTGGTGGGGAGGGAGGAAGAAAGCGACTGCTAATGGGTACAGGGTTGCTTTTGGGGGTGGTAAAAACATTCTAGAATCAGGTCAGGGTGATTGGTGGTTACACAACCTTGTGATTATTAAAAAAAACAACAACACTCAATTGGAAATGAAATGTGACAAAGAAAGGACAATTAGAAAAAAATTGTCTAAAATAGTCCTAGAGGCGGTTGTGAAAAATAGTTGAGAAACACAGGAGAAGAGGTAGGTGTCCCCCAGGCCAGACGGAAAGTCTGGTTTTGTTGCTTTATGTTCAATGTGCTTTATGTTCGTGTCTAAAAAATCTGAGATCCTCAACACCCCTCCCCTTCCCAGCCCAACCTCACCTCTCCCAAGAACATTCGAAACACCTAGAGGTAGTAGGAAGTCAGGGCTGGGAAGGTTGACTTCGTAAATAAGTGTAAACTTCCGGCCTTCATTCTCCAACACCAAAGAGGCTTCATTTCCCGGTGTTTCTCTGCCTTCCTCCTACCTTGTCCCCAGGTGCCAGAGTAAGATGACAAGCCCAGCCTCTCTAGCCATAATGACCATATTTCTTGATCCAAAATTCAGGCCTCAAGGTACACAACAAGTATGCATGTGTGGATGAGAGTAATAGTCAACGCTGGAGCGGTTTGGGTCAGTCCAGAGCTCATGGACACCACAGCTGACCATGTCTCTCCTGGCAGATCCCCCAGATTTTTCAGTTGTCTTCTGAGAGGGCCACCTGGGGCTGCAAATTACACCTGGAGCCCTTCTTGGCTCTCTAGGTGCCACCTGAGTGCACATGTCAGCCTGCCCAGCCAGGCCTGGCTCTGGCCAGAGATCACACCCTACCCCAGCTGTTTGTGCAGCTATGTCAGCCTGAGACCTCAGCCAGTGCATTTGAGCCTTAATGCAGAGGCTGAGTGTGGAGGAGCCATATGTTAGAGCTTGTATTCCTTTGATGTGGGAAGATCCCCACCCCATGACCTACTCCAATGGTGTCTTTCCCCTCATCTTCTCTCTTACCTTAACTGTAACCCCCAGGGCCACATGGGTTCAGGACAATACTGAGAGTCAGGCAGTGGAGGCTTCCCAGGATGACCACACACCACTCCCATGCCCCTCCATGCAGCACTTGGTCACTGGCTGCAGACTAGGTCACAGGGATGATAAAGGCACACATGCTGGGTTCGAGGGAGCTCAGAATGTCTATGGAGCCCACTCATATGAACACTGAAGGTATCTTTCCTCCCTTGCTGCAGCCCAGAGCGGGAGCCAACAGCTGACGGGGATGTCAGGTACTGTGTCCTGGGAGCATCTGCCCTCCGGGGTAGGCTTCTTCAGAGGGGCTTTCAGGCCAAGGGAGCCACAGAGCTCTGGAGCACTGCCCTGCAGCCCCAGCCTAGCTGCAGGGAGGAGGCCAGGGAGGGCTCTGCGCTCCATGGGGAGGTTTGGAAGCCGCCCCCTCTTCTGTACCTCGGGCACCTTTTGCACCAGATCATTTTTATCTGGTGGTCAACTTTTCCTTTTCTTTTTCTTTTTTTTTAAATTTTTATTTATTTATTTATTTTTATTTTTATTTTTTTAAGCAAGGCAACCCTTGGTTGACCTCCCAGATCGCAAGGACCTTGTCAGCTTACAATCTCTTATTTTTTTTACACCTACAGCACCTGGTCTTCCTAGGTGGCCTCCCATCCAAGTACTAACCAGGCCTGCCCCTGCTTAGCTTCCGAGATCAGACGGGATCGGGCTTGTTCAGGGTGGCATGGCTATAGACTTTTCCTTTGCTTTTAAAAAATTTTTTATTTGGGGGCGTTCTTCAAAAACTACATCACACTAAATATGGTTTCCTTGCCTCCACTTTTTTAAAAGTTCCTTTGGAAGAGTTACCTGCCAATGTCAAAGTTGAGTGGCTTGAGGGCTACTCAAGGAAGGGAAAAATCAGGGGTTCAGTATTGGCTCGTTTTCCTCCTGGGCTTGGGGTAGAGACTCGGGAAGGAGTACAGAGTGCAGGAGTGGGGCAGGTGGGATGTAGGGAAGGGAGGAGTCGAGGTCTCATCCCCTGGGTCAGCTAAGACTTGGTGCGCACGCCTGCCTCAGGCCTTGGGGAAGGAGTCCACCGGGGGCCACACAGAGCAGACTTCTGCCAGCTACGCCTCCCCATGTTAGCACTCCCCAACCCCTTGCCCTGGTCTAAGCCATCATCTTGACAGCTGCCTCTGAGAATGAGCCCCTGAGAATTGCCTTTCTATTTCTACCCTGCTTTTCCTAGGAGGAGAGGCCCAGTGGCCTATGCTTCTCAGAAACCATGGCTGCTAAATGCCACTGTGGAGGAAAACATCACCTTTGAGAGTCCCTTCAACAAACAACGGTAAAATCTTCTCGGAGGGAAGTGAGCTGGAGACAGGGAGAAATTGGTCATGGGCAGCATTAGCCACCTGCCCTAGTCCCCCAAGCCCTAGCCAGCTGGCCTGCCCCTTCATCGATCTCCCACACTCAGCCGTCCCGCTCTCCAGCCCGCTTATCTGGATTCCATCCTGTGCATACGGTCATCTGGAAACGATCCAGATGTGCCTGGGCATCAGGGCAGTCCAGCTCCTGTGGGTGGGAGGGCGGGAGGCAAGGGAGGTGCGGGAGCCCTGCTGCCCTCTCCTGCGGCTGGTGGAAGGCTGACCCAGCCCCCCTGATTCTTTGTACTCACGATTCCCCACCCCCAGCTCCGTGGCCTGTGCACACTTTCCCTCCAGTGATAATAATAACCGCTAACATTGATTGAGCCCTTACCAGGTACCAAGCACTTTGTACATGTGATGTCCTCTAATGCTCCCAACAATCTCAATAGTCAGGTATTACTATCAATCTCATTGGTTTCTCACAGATGGAGAAACCAAGGTTCAGAAAGGTTAGATAACTTGCCCAAGGCCACCCAGCCAGTAAGTGACAGAAACCCAAGGCCGCCTAATACCCAAATACATGTCACCAGGACACTCTGATGCCTCCTCAGTGTATGCTGACTGGCACCTGCCCAGGTGAAAAGCTGGCCAGGGAAGTATGAGAGGAGCAGGCTGGGCAAATATTTGACCAGTTATTATCGTTACTACCTAAACCAACCAGCAGTGATTTTCCCTGGCGGTGCCCCAAGCATGGGCCCTGGCTGTCACTTTTCCTACTGCACAGGAACCGTGGGCCCTCTCTTGCCACTTATGTGGTGTATTTGCTGCCATCTAATTCCATCCTTCAAATATTTAACTTGCTCCAAGACCATGTAAGGTGCTGCTCTCAGCTCTTTTTAAGCTCACATGGTGTTTGCTTGCACCCAAGCAGGAGGCCCATTAAAGCCATTGCTCACCGTGGGCACAGCTTCCCAGAGGCTAATGACCCTCTGCAAGTGCTCAGGGCCCCCTCTGGGCAGGCTAGTCAGCTGTGTCCACTGCCACCCCACTCCAGGTACAAGATGGTCATCGAAGCCTGCTCCCTGCAGCCAGACATCGACATCCTGCCCCATGGAGACCAGACTCAGATTGGGGAACGGGTTAGTAGAGCCTCTAAGGGGTTTGCTCAAAGTCGGCACCTTCAATCTCCCCTGCTCCCCACCTATCACCACCACCAGGCCCCGACACCAGGGAGAGCAGATACTTGGAAAATAAAAGGGTGGAGGCCGCAGGGCTGCCAACAGTGGGCTCAAAATGATCTCTTTGAGCCCTAGGCTAGTAGCTGTCCTTGACGAGTTTTCAGCCCCTCTTGCTACAAAGGTCAGCTCAGCATCTGCCCAGGCTGGAGATGATGGACATCTCCTTCATTCACGCCCCAAGTATGTACTGAGAGCCCCCATGGCACTGTGCTAGGCTCAGGGTTGTCCCCTTCCCATTCCCTCCTCCACAAGCTTAGATTCTCAAGTAGCTGTCCTCCTTGTGTAAAATTAAATCCCTACTTTCTCTATCTTGGGTTTCACTGGTCAGATGGTCTCTAGCACCTACATGATGAATCTTCAAAGACTTGGAGATCATACTCCCCCCTTCCCAGTGAGTTCAGTAAACATGTACATGTTTCTTTTCTCTGCTCAGTGAGGATGGGACAAGGAGGTAGATAGAGCCAGGCCTCTATCCCAAAGAGCTCACGGTTAAGTAGGGGTCAGAACAGTCTCTCCTGAAGGGCTATGAGGGAATGACCTCTCCTCTCCTTTGGCAACAGGGCATCAACCTGTCTGGTGGTCAGCGCCAGCGAATCAGTGTGGCCCGAGCCCTCTACCAGCATACCAATGTCATCTTCTTGGTGAGTGCACCAACCGGCACCTCCCTAGTAGCTCTCGTCTCTGGGCGTCTCCCTGGTCATTGCCTACACACATATCACACACATATACACACACGTACACACATGCACATGTGTACACATGCACACATACACACAAGCACTCCATCACCCACCTACTTCCCTCTACAGAAATAAACCTCTCCTGCCAGAGATATTACCTACTCATCTTATTTATGGAGAAACTGAGGTAAGGATAGTACAAATGACCCACTGTGGACTTCACACTGAGCTCTGCAGTAGCCCTGAGGGGAAGCAAGTAGTTACAGGCCAACTCCCTGTAGGACAGCCCCAACCTAACAATATTTATTTAGCCTGACTATAAGAATGGCCAACACATAGAATGTGTACTGCCACTTCCCATCTCATGCCCAGAGCAGACGTTGCTAATTGATCACAGCATTCTTTTCCACAGAAACTTAACTTGGCCTCAGAATCCTTCTCGACACAGAACTATAGGTAACCACTAGCAATCAAACGTGAGGTAAACTTATTAGCTATCCCTGCCCTACTTCATGTGAAGTTCTGTGTTAGGTACCTTAGTTGATACTGAAGAATTCTAAGACTCATCTCCTGACCTCAAAGATTTAGAGTCTGGTTAGGGAGACAGAGCTCACCCAAGCTCACTCAAGCTCACTCAAGAGCTACAGCCCAGCCGAAAGCCACACACTGTGAGGCACAGACTATGAGAAGCCTTGTCCAGGAAGACAACAGTGAGGGCTAGAGTGATCAGGGAGGGCTTCCTGGAGGAAGGTCTTAAAATGTGAGTCAGTTAAACAGAAGGAAACAGGGAGACCATTTGGACAGAGAGTTGGAAGAAGGAAACTCAGGTCTCTGATCCCAGCTTTATTCTCTCTCTCCCACAAACACTCCCTACTAAACATGCTTCATAAGGTAAGCCTCACGGTCTGTTACCATCTGACACATATGCAGCCCTTTACAAAGGACTAGATCATTCATGATCCCATGTGAGCTTTAAACAACCTTGTTAGAAATAAAGTAAATAATTTAGTTTATTCTAGCAAACTTTAATTAAGCTCCTAATATTTACCAGGCACAGGCACAACGGGTCTTAGTTCTTAGGGGCCTCATGAAAATAACTCTCATATCTGGCTTTGTTCAGGGTATCACTGAAGCAGAGAAGAGGGACGTCTGGGTGTGGGGGTCAGAAAAGGACTCAGGAAGAGCTAGTGCTTGAGTGGAGCGCTGAAAGTTAAGTAGAAGTTTACCAGGCAGACAAAAGGCAGATCGGCACTCCAGGCAGAGCAAACAGTTTAGGCAGAGGCCTCGAATGCCATGTTCCCTGGAAACTTGGAGTGTAGGGAGCTTGTATAAAATAGATGTGAAGTGAGGCTGGAAAGGAAGACTGAGCAGGATTCCCATGTTAAGGAATTCAGACTTCATAGTTTATGGGGAGCCACTGGAGGATGAAGAATCAGAAAGCTTGTGATTAGATCTGTTTGAGAATGATAACTGATAACAGCCCCATTTTCAGATGAGGCGACCATCTTAAAGACTGACAGCTAACTACTATCAGTCCCTAGGCCAGAACTGATATAACTGGTGGTTTTTATACTTACCCCCTCCTTTCATACGTGCCTCTACCTTCTCCCCTTCACCTAGGATGACCCCTTCTCAGCTCTGGATGTTCATCTGAGTGACCACCTGATGCAGGCCGGGATCCTTGAGCTACTCCGAGACGATAAGAGGACAGTAGTCCTTGTGACCCACAAGCTACAGTACCTGCCACATGCAGACTGGGTAAGGGGTCACAAAAGGGTCAAACTGTAGAGGGCTTAGGTAGGAGAGGCAGTTAGACATCTTCAAAAGATCCAATTGGATGTCTTGTAGCAGTGGCTGAGGGCTACCGAGCGGAAGAGATTAGCATGGGATGGCTTTGTGCAATTTGGGCAGATCAGGGAGACCCGCACGGACAGTAGTTTGGTGTCACCTAGGGCTACAGACATTCCCTATTCTGGCCCGGGGCCCCTGTGGGTACCACAGGGCTGATACCAAGAAGTCTCAGAAAGAAGCAGATACTCAGTTCCTAAGTTTCTTTTTTTGCTCTGTTGGATGACTCATCTCCCTGGCCTTGGTGAGTACCTATCTGGATGAGAAAATCGTCTTTCTGCCCTCAGGTGGATCAGATTCAAGTTAGGACCAGAAGGAAGATGGAACAAATAATAGCGGTAGTAATAGAAACTTCAGTTTTATCAGTGGAATACAATTTTGTGAAGCCCCACATTAACTAAATTTCTATACTTTTCAACATGTAGACAAAGTTACTTTTTAATTAATTGGAAACAATCTAATTTTTAAGATGAATATCATGTGACTTGAAATCTGGGCCTTGCCTGATCCCTATATAAATTTGCCCCTGAAAATTGAGGCCCTCCTGGAGTTTCAGGCCTGTGCTAAATGGCCCTGCTAACCCCAAATAAGTCTCCTTTCTATATGTGGAGAGATCCTCCCTCCACTATGAAAAAGAGAAAAAATCCAGAGGGAAAAAAAAAAGCTATTAAAACAGGTTCAGGTTTGTGTCTGAGTTTCTGTGGTGACCCGGGCAAGACAACGCAAGACAATCTTTAGTCCAAAGAAGGCACACATGGAGGTGCCTGGTTCTTTAAGGTATCAGTGGATAGGATTCCTGAGCACCCCTCCCTAACCCCAGTGTGTGTGGGAGATACAGAAGCAGGGGTGGGTGTCTGAATTAATGATGAATCTACCTGAGTGTGAAACACTGAGTGTTTCAAATAAAATGTTTTATTGATTTCAAAGAGATGTGGCCACAAACACTTAGACCAAAAGGGGCTTTGCCAAACACTGATGGACACACCTCTCAAACCTGCCAAGGAGCTAAAGGTAGTGTGTAATCATCCCATTGAATGTATGAAAACAGTGGACACCGATGGATTCCTTGTGCATAAACAAACAGCTTGATCAGGATGCACTAATTGCTCTGCAGACTCTCCTATCAACCATGGGGCAACCATTAAGAATTACTCCCCAAGTGTTCGAAACTCTAAATCCCGGGAGTATGTTGGTAAGAGTAGGTTATCCCTACCAGCTCACTGCAGTGGGCGAGACAAAGGCTATTTGTGGTGGGGAAAAGATGTGTGCATGTCCATCTCAGATCCTCAGTCAGGCGAGGATCTCCACTCCCCTTCCCCAGCCAGCCCTCAGCAGGATTTGTTTCTGTCTTTCCAGATCATCGCTATGAAGGACGGCACCATCCAGAGAGAGGGCACACTCAAGGACTTCCAGAGGTCCGAGTGCCAGCTCTTTGAACACTGGAAGACCCTCATGAACCGGCAGGACCAAGAGCTGGAGAAGGTGGGTATATCCTGGGGGGCCAAAAAGCTACCCCTAAGTAGACGGTTCTGATAATGCTACGCTCATCAAGGCCTTCTGGCCCTCATTGACCCCAGGAAACCCTCCAAGTTCATGGGAGCTGGCCATGAACTTGCTCCTGCCAGAGGAGAGCCAGTACCTATGCCAGCTACCTAAGGCAGAATCAGGTGGATGCCCTCCTCTCATCCTGAGGTAGTCAGATACCATTTAGTTTGCAGTTTCAGAAAATCAACTCAAACTGGCTAAGCAAAGAAAAAAAGGGGTGTATTTAAGGATTTATTGGCTCATGAAACCAGAAAGTCCATGAGTGTCATAGCTTCAGGTGGAGCTAGATCCAGACAGTCAAACAATGTCATCAGGAATCTGTGTTTCCCCATCTCTTGGCTCTGCTCCCTTCAAACTGGCTTCATTCTCACGTTAGCAGTGAAAGCCATTGGCATTCTTGGGTTTACATTCTCCCAGATTAGTGACTGCCAGAAAGAGAACCTCTTTCACGGTTGTTTAGCAAAAGTTCCAGGGCTGACTCTCATTGGTCCAATTTGGTAGTATACCCACCCCTGAACAAATCATTGTGGCCAGAGATGTGGAGTGTGAGGACTGGCCAGCCCTGTATTATATGCTCACCCCTGGAGCCGGGGAGAATGATCAGCCCACCTGAATCACAGAGACTAAGAATAGGGGAAAACTGGTCTCCCACAGGGACATTGGGGTGCTGTTAGCTGATGAAAGGGAAAGAAAAAATTTGTCCCACTGGAAGCCACCCTAGGCAGAGACAACCTAGAAACTGACACTGGTCATTACCAGGGGTGGTTGCCCGCTACCCTCCCTTTTCCCTTTTGCATATACTGAGGACATTGGCCAGGTCCCACTTGCCTTTCAGGAGACTGTCATGGAGAGAAAAGTCCCAGAGCCACCCCAGGGCCTGCCCCGGGCCATGTCCTCGAGAGATGGCCTCCTGCAGGATGAGGAAGAAGAGGAAGGTACAGACAGGGGGACTTGCAATGAAATCATGGCCTGAGGTCTGATCAACTACAAGGAGACTAAGGTTTGGGAGTTCTAAGGGTGGTAAGATAGTGTGCCTCTGATTAAATCCTTTCCCTTCTGTGTACCTCAGTCTTCCCATCTGTAAGTGGGGATGACATACTCCCTGATTTACCCTCAGAGGGATATGAAATACAAAGCCACAGGGTGGGTTTTTGCGGCCTGCAGAGGAGACGGCCGAGAGTGAGGAGGAGGACAACCTGTCGTCCGTGCTGCACCAGCGCGCCAAAATCCCGTGGCGAGCCTGCGCCAAGTATCTGTCGTCTGCCGGCATCCTGCTCCTGTCACTGCTCGTCTTCTCGCAGCTGCTCAAGCAAATGGTTTGCGTGGCCATCGATTACTGGCTGGCCAAGTGGACCGACAGCGCCCTGACCCTGAGCCCCGTGACAAGGAACTGCTCCCTCAGCCAGGTGGGGCTGGCGGCCCCAGGGAAGGGCTGGGGGAGAGGGCTGTGCCATGGACACCCCTGGGACCCTCCTCATTCTCTGCCTGGCCCAGGAGTGCTCCCTCGACCAGACCGTCTACGCCATGGTGTTCACGGTGCTCTGCAGCCTGGGCATCGTGCTGTGCCTGGTCACATCTGTCACAGTAGAGTGGACAGGGCTGAAGGTGGCCAAGAGGTTGCA